TACCATGCGCCCATCTGTTCCCGTTTCGACCAGGGTGCCCGGATAAACCCACGGTGCGAGCTGTCTGTGTGGGCAATTGTGCGGTCAGTGTGCGGGAGGTTTATCGATTTGATCGTGACAATCAGCGATGCGTGAAAGAGAACTATATTCAACGTCAATGTCGAAGTGAGTCCATTGTCTATAGCGGTCGCTTTACATGATTAAGAAATGATTAGAGTAAACCGTCGTCTACACAAACCCCTCTCCCTCAACTTAGGGCTACAAACACAGATTAGCGTAACCGATGGTTAGAAACCATGAGTGATATGGTTGAGTGTGACCAAACAGCGTAGCTCTTGCATCTAGTCCAACCCCTTCCAACCTTAATCTTCATGAACTCTTTTTTTCACTCAGGCGCTGCTTTTAAAATTCCAAACTTCCTTTTACCCTTACACCNTTGGTTGTTTAAACTGAACTGGAAGCTAAAACCCTTAGCGTGAAGCTAAAAGTAGAAAAACCACAGATTGAGTGCATGTCTCTGTGAATAAAGTATGTTCATTTGGTATTAAGCGCTAACACCAGGATCTGATTGAGTAGTAGAATTACTGTAGAATTACTGTATACTGATCAGAGAGGTTAGCAATTTAGCAATTTAAACAGGAAAACAATTACGAACAATGTGTTACTTTTGATGCATAATATATTGACTGTTGCTAGCACCTACCCATAATTCAACCGAACGACTACACGAATCAAAAGCATACCGGTCAAAAATGGTCATTTATTATGTTCAATATTAAATTCAAGTGTGAAATTTATTTATTGTGGCAGATGAGATGAAAAGATCATCATTTTATCTGTTCTCTTCTTCACTAGACTGAAATCTAAGCACATGTGGTTGCCGAGAGCGTTCAATTTCAGTTCTCATAACTTTTGAAAGGTATTCATTCACAGGTGGTTCATCGTCTGGTTCCAAAGTGTATTATGTCCCTAAATGACGCTAATTGTACATGACAATACAGAGGAATGTTGTCTTTTGAGTTTGCTTTCACTCAGTTGGTTTCGCTCTGCCATTTTATTTGAAAATTAACTCATATCACGACCATCAATCCGTTTAAATAGTGAACTGCGCTACGACAATGCGTGGTCAAATTACACGCATGTTCGAATGGGATTTGTCCTCCGTTTCCCCGTTCAATCATCCCTTTGACTGTTTTTGATGGTTAAATAGCTCGTGATCGGCCAGTGAAATATGGTCAATCCTACCCTATACTATTACCAGCAAAATAACTTCGGTAAGGACAAAATAACTGAGAGTGGTCAACCAGTTTTTTTATAACTGATATGGGATGAAACCCAAATGAATTCTGGGATCACACAACTTTTCCATGCTTGGAGGAAATTATTTGAGGCGAAAATAGGAAACGTGTTTGAACGGACAGCATTTGTATACGTTAAGTGCCGTTTGCCCGTGGAGGGATTGCTCTAAAAGAGAGTATGATTCCACATTGTTTACTCATTTCCAAAACACTCTGCAATGCATGTGACATCTGTGGCAGGCGAAAGCTCTGCTCAGTTCATTCTAACACACTGAGACTGTACAAACGCTTGCTTATTTCTTTTTCAAGTGCTTATTGCTTTCTCATTCATTTTGTGCAATAATCTTCCGAATTGTACTCCAACTGTCAGAATGCCCAAAGCCGCATGAACTTCGTGAGCCCTGTGACGTGAGTGGTTCCTGTATGCAAACTGTTCGACTAATTCACTACATTGTGGAAGACTGTCACTGTAAGAGGTTGGAACAGGTACGTCAGGAACGTTGCTGTTGTCCCGCACCGGTCACACTTGGAAGCAAATGCCTGGAAGATGTGGGAGTTGTAGAAACAAAACAAGTATCATACGAGTAAGTTTGTCGCTTTTATCTCTATTGCCTATACTCGTTGTGTATAAAAGAAAACTGCTTTATCCTCGCACGTTGCTATCGGTGTGCAGCTCTTTAGCACTGCACCGCATGACAACATATCCAGTCTTCACAAACCAATATGGAAATGGAGTAATCGTCTATTTACTAATTTACTCATCTGCGAGATATCACTGTAAAGTTATCTTGTGGCTACAGCTGATGAGACAACAAAGAAAAGAATTTTAGCCATATATTTTACTATTCAATTAGGAATAACATTTTTAAAACAGTCCTGTCATGGAAAAAATGTAATGATTGTGTGAGGATTGAAACAAAATGACGCTCACACAAGAATACTGCACAGAACCTCGTATCTATGAATGATCAAGGGATTACCGAGATCATAATTCACTGGTGATTTGATACTTTTCTTTTAAAGATTTAGCGGGATGATTTTCTGGATGGTTTTTTGTCTCTAATCTATATTTGCCTCGATCAGTTCTCCCACTTCTTGCAACGTCATCTTCAGCAAATGTGCGGCTGACTGAGTGAGTGACTGATTTCCCCTGTTGAGGATTGTTTCCACGCGCTTCATTGGAGCCTGAACACACCTTTTAGTCGATCTTGTGGAAACTACGCCGTATTGACAACTCTTCTTCACTCAGTCATCTGAACGCATAGATAAGCGAGATGATTTGTCAATCCCATTCAGAATGTGTTTCATCTTCCTTTCGACTGTGCCAGCCTTCTTTAAATATCTTAACTTATTTCAAACAAAACAAAAATGTGCTCTATGGGATTATTTCAACAATCTTAAATTATCTTCCTGCCATGGACACGTTACTAGACATCGCTTTACCGGTGACTGGTTGACTTAATCAGTTCAACGGAACAGTACACTAAGCCGCAAACAGAAATCCACCAGACTTCATCAAATTTGTTTTCAGTACTTTCTCAGTTTCGATGATACTGTATGAAAATAGTAGCAGATGATACGTTCACAGTATCCTAGAGGTGCCACCGAACCGATTGAAAGCTGGTCGTCCGCTTCATCTTTGAGTAGCTGAGATGGTAATGACATAATGATTCAGTTCAGTTTAAGTGAACGATTCTTTCAAGCCATCCGGTTGCCTTAACCCTAACCCCGAAAATACACATAACGTTTTGAGTGACCGCGTGACCCAACCAGGAAGACCCATGTTGAAACTTACTGCTTAAAAAAACGATCTATGCCTATTCTCCTTTTCCATCGTTTCTCAATTGCCAAGCTCGGACTAATGTAATTGTAAATGTATTTTTTACTTCCTTTTTATTTTATTGAATATACAAATGTGCAGTTAACATTCAGGAAGGGCTGCGGCCATACAAAGGCTGTCTGGGAAGACGGGCGTTGATGGAGCGGTTTGATTCAGGGACCTCCAGGTCACAAGTTGCTGACCTACCCACATGGTCGCCACCGCCTTTTTGGCCGCACGAATGCGGAGGCTAGCCAAACAATGGATTTGGACCTATTAGTCCAGCGATTCTTACCGTGCACTAATATACAGAGTAGAGAACCGTTATCAGTCAACGAAACCTGTTTGCGTTATTTGAGGTTATTCGCCTTAGAAAGATATCGGAAACTAGATTGTTTGCTACCTTTCTATGTCCAAAGTCCATTTCAGAATGAAAATTTTACAATTGTTTCTCCTCAGTGAGGGAGAAAAAATGCCATTCAGTCTGTATTTTCTAAGTTGTATGGTAATTTCCGTCTAAGTGGGTTAAATACACCTGTAACAATGATAAAATTTACAGTTTATATTGGGTCGTCAGTCGGATCATCTCACGTGATCCCTTCAATTCATTCTAGCTTAGTGAATGGACACTGCGCAGAACGTGTACAACTGAATCGCATCCCGACCACCTGTCCTCCAGCTGGCTCCGTGATCCCCGAACCGGTGGCCCCGTGCAATCCACAAACGTGTCTTCGCCCCGTTCTAGGACCACGATGGATTCGGGTTGGTTGCCAATGCGTGGAACAAAAACCTCAACGATTCGAGACCTGTTGTTGCACAAATCGAATTGTACGAACAAAACGAATTTGTCAAGCGAACGGAAATTTTGTTTTGGTGAGAACTGGTTTTATGATTCTCCTGTAGCGATTCTAGTCTACAATTTTTTCATTGATAAAGAGGAGTGTTACGGGGAACCTAAAAAGATTGCTTTTAAACATCTCACTTGATTCTGGTATTCAGTGCACCAAATTATTTAAAAAAATTCGCAAGTATTCCAATATTCAGGACTTCACCCACTTCTTCTTGTATTCTAGTTTGCAATCAATTATGTGCCTTTGTAGAAGAATTTTGGCATTCCTAATTCAATAGAACAGTGTTTCGCTTCACATCCCATTTACGTGCGGTTGCAGTACCCGTCGTATCGGACATGCGACGAGACACTTTTTCAAGTGAATATCGATACGTTGCTCAGTCTTTCTTCGTTATTGGATGCACGGTTAAGAGTATCCTCAGCTCACTCCCGTAAAACTTATTTTACATTGGATCTAGAATTAACCGGTTCCATGAGATATTTCACTTCGAGGGAAGACAATCAGGATCATGAAAGGTGATCTGTTCAAAACGGTGAACTTAGTGCAGTCATTGGTGCTACCAGGGTTTTGAATAACCATGGAAAACTTTCCTGACCACCGGTTGCCTTTAAAAGCTCATTCAAACACACAGCTTGTTTCCCGTCTAGTCACACCATTCACAGTTAACAGTTTCAAATCAGTTTTACCAATACATCGATCATCGTCTTCCAGTTTGTTGGTAAATTATTAAATATGACACAAGTTTACGCGTTATGAACTATACTCTGCCTAATGCGCGAAGCTGAAAGGTAAATTCTTCATGTCACTGAATTTTTAATTAACCCCTGTTTATATTCAGTAAAATTATTTCTCAAAGTCCTTTCTGCAGAAGAAAACAAGATACCAACAAAGCTATTGCATCACGTTCCAATGACTGTCCTTAAAGAAGCTTAACGATGATATCTAACATTCCCCTGGCATGCTTCAAGTCACTAACTTTTCACAGTTAACTGCCGTAGGACTGCTTGACTGAAGATGTTCAGGATCTCCAGTAATTCCCAGGCAAAGGTTAACTTTGAACCGTCTCAGCGATTGGGTTTAAGTAGCCCTCATAGCACGCTCACGTATCATGGTCATTGAAGAATTGCTACGGAGCTATCGGTGGCTCACCACGTTTGTTCCGAATAGGGGCTAGCTACACTTCAAACCGAGTACGAATTTCAAGAGTTTGACTTTGTGAAATATTGTGATTTCGTGAACTCTTTTTATTCTCCAAATGTAAAACACTCTAAGTGAAATAAAATTAGGGTATAAAAATTAAATATGAAGAATACACCAGTCTTTTTAAACGGTATACCGATAGTATACCGAGTTAGAAGAAGCAAAAAGGGACAATGAAGCATAAGTCGAGTTCTTTTGGCATCCAGTGGTGGTTTGTGATGTGTGAGTTTTGCTGATCCAATGAACTTGGTATTCTTAATCATGGTGCAATCGGTGAGAATCTATCAACCACATAAATCTTGAAGAGGAACTGACCAGAACGATACAGCATGAGATTGGTCATTGTGCTATTACTGTACTCTTTTGAGTGGTCGATTGAAACACTAATTCCTTTCCTCACAACTTCAAACAGCTGTTTGTTCAACTGCGGTGTCCCACCACATTCACAGATGAAGAGGTGGATAGAATGACTTCCTGCTAGACGTGATTTACTCTTCCTGATTCTTGAATTGTGCGCACAGGCAAAAAGAGTTTAGCGATGCGCTAAACGGGCATGTTCTTTTCAACCCGGAAATGATTCTTCCGGAGATGATTAGAACTTAAAATCTTTGGAAAAAAAGATAAAATGCGAGCTTTTTTGCAAAACTGAGGCGCTCGCATTTAATAAAAGTTTGAATCTCGTCGGTTCCCGTCTGTATTGGCGAAAACCTATCTCGTTTGAACATTTTGCCCCACGAAAATATCCAGAAGAGCCTTTTTGATTTTTTCATCTGCCTTCATCGGAATTCAAGTAGAAAGGGAATGGACACCGGGAACAGAATGTATATTAGAAATTAGAAATTATCATTATTTCGGTGTAGCACAGAGCCGGATCGTTGTGCAGCAGCGACGAAACGTCAGCTGCTTACCTTGAAGCTAATTGTAGTTGTATTGTGGATTAATATCAGCTTTGGGGAATTTCGGGGATTCCGTGGTAAAGCGCAAATTGTGGTATTGGAATAAAGATCCTAATTCGCCTAACAAAGGTTAAACACATTCTGAATATGTAACTTCATGAATCTGTTGATTGCCCCTATGAAAAATCGTCACTTAAGCTAGGCCAAACTTAAAAATACGTATCACAGCAATCACGATAACTGTGAACTTCTAAACGACTTCGATTCACTGATTCATCAGTGAATCAGATGATGAAGACCAACGTGACTCCATCTTCATACCCTTTCTTTTCGGTTTTCCTCATCAGGGCTATTTGCGACTATTTTCAGTCATTTCGATTAGATCAGCAAAATCTAACTAGCCAAATTTTGATACGCTCTCAGCTGTTATACGCTCTGTGTGGTTAGGCTTCACTCGACCATCTAGTGGGAAGTTATCACAATGTCAGAAACCACATAACTTTCCAGTTCATGCAATTCCATTATTCTCCACTTTATCTTACCTTTCCGATAATCAGCTCACCCAAGCTTGGAAACTGCATCACGGGGAATGCGTGAAAGTGATGGTGAGCAAGGGTTTGCAATCTCCACCTTGCTTACCTCAAAAGATTACCCCGCTGGGACCATGCAACCCGGAAACAAAAACCCAACCGGCATTGTTGGAAAGATTTGTGGTGAAAAATTGCAAATGCCAATCCATTGGCAATCAGGAAATCAAGCGCGTTTGTGGTAAGTTTGACTAAAGACTAAAAATAAATTTCAAAATGGGAAGTAAATTCGGGTTCCGTTTTTGGCCAAATCGAGATCACATCTCTGTGTCATTCGCTCAAATGAACAGATGAGCCACAATGTGCGTTTTGAAGACAACTCTTTCTATTTCCCAATGTTTGGGCCGCAGCATTTCTACTTGAAGTGACACGTCATTGAATCTTTAATTGCAACCGCCAATTACATCGAAGTGGCAATATGGTAATCCATTTGATGCCCTAGCCATTCTTTGCTTGAATCTACCAACTAGGGACAGTGAATGACAGTCGGAATGTTCAACCACATGAACCATCAATTTTCCGTGCCATACACGACTGATTTCTGACCAATGTGTATACATCATTGTGATATGCTTTGAAAAATGAGCGAATCGCATTGTTTTCCCGTGATTTGATGAACACCAGCACGAAGTTGCTCACTTCTAACCTATTTCATTTCATGATGTAAGCTCCAAATTCAAGGTTATTTAACATGATGTTGTACTGTTTGATTGATTTCCTTCTTGTTTTACTGAACTCTGGGCGATGTTTGTTTCCACCCAGTGCAGTGGGTTAAAACTCTTCAAAAAATTACCTCAGGTGTGAAATCAGGTATACCCGTAATTTCGGACGACCGTGCTCATTGATATTGGCGGACTTTGGGAGTTTTTGGTGTGCTAATCTATTCAATAATCCCACTGGTTTACCCTCCATCATGAACCTGTACAGCTTGTCCGGCTCCGGAAGACACTGTGGGACAATGCGATCCGGTTACTTGTTTACAACGAGTACATCGAGTTGCGTGGATGCTAGAACCACATGACAATCATTGTCGTCGTCTGGCTCCCCAAGTGTTAACACGCCCCTGTTGTTGTTCGCGTGAACAGCACAAGCCGGTGGACAAAGTTCGATGCATCCCGGAGACTGGACAATTGGAAATTGTGCGCATCAGTTACCGATTTGATCCGAGAAGTGAAACTTGTGAACCGCATACGGAAAGGCATTTTAAAATGCCAGGTAATTTCTTAGCTTCTAGGGGGCACTAACGATGTGTTCCAGTGTAATGTCTATTTTTCGACTTTTCCTTTTAGTTTGTTTTCTGTGTTCAACTCATCCACTAGGTTATCTGATCCACGCTAAAACAGATTAAGCGTAAGCGATAAATACCGTCTTCTGTAAGTTTTGTAAGTTTTTATTCTAGACGATTCGGCTTCAGTCGAATTTTCAACAGGTAGAGCTCATCTATCGAAAGTGAGAGTGAAATTTTAGAACAGGTTGAGATTATGGACTTGGTGACGTTGAAATAGATAATCTCGATAGACCCGGTTAACACCAAGGTGATGGCTTTACATAGAGTTACGCTCACGAGAGCGGGATGAATATACCAGTGCATACCGGCCGAGCATTCACTGTTCGGCAGACGGAATGGAGAAGTTTTGCTGAAGCAGCTTCCTATTTGAACTTACTCAAGTAGGGAATATCGCTAACCGTATTTTCTGGATGCTCTGATCTAAAAGTTTCTTTCTTTCCAAAATTCTACAAATTACAGATTGTCCTAACCACGGGAAACTGCTCCGGGGCAAATGTGATCAAACCAGACGTTGGACCATTGACCGTGTTGTATTGTGGAGACCGCATGCACCCACTTGTCGTTGTCGCGTCCTGACAAAACTTCTGAAACGACCATGTGGTATGTTTAGACTGCGACATTGTCGAATGAGCAAGCGATCTAATTTATCCATTGCTAATGAGTGAATCTATTGGGACACTTGCGTGAGACGATGAACTTTATGAATGTTGGTCCACTTCGGCGAGATTGAGTCTAGCGAAGACAGCTAACTCATAATTGTATTGTTTTTGAACTCAGAAGAATTGGATTAGACGGGCTACAACACAGAGCGAATCAGCTAGTGATGCTAATGCGTCGGCCAATCGAGATGCACCTTATGGTGACAGCCGGCCATCCAACGAATCTTTACTAGTTGTTGTGTATGCAGCTGTTCCACACTCCTCTTAATGTACGCTCACACGATAGGCATGCGCTATAAACGTTTCGATCACTAAAGCTTATTCACCTGGGTATACTGAAATACTCCTCGTTGTAATCTTTCATTTATCACTGAAGGGCGGCCATTTCCAGAGTGAAGGTGACATGTAACAACTTTGAAAGGTCAACTGAGTACCGTTCCCGAAAATCAGGTCATTGATTGCATAATTTTACAATTTGGGAATGGTGAGCATCGGCGGGGTATGCGTGTTTTGTTCCAAAGAAGGGGGGGCCTCATTGTTTATCAACAGTGGACGTTTTTCCAGTGAGATTAAAATGCAGTTCTGTGAAAAATTCCATATCACTCGCCCACCAGTTTTTCGTCATCTCACACTAACAAATTTTATGGGCCCATTGGAGTTTATTCTATGACTATGCATTCTTTGGATTTTCGTCCTCGGCTGGGTGAAATTAATCTCATGGTGCTGTACGGACACAGTGCCATATGAATACAGTTGAGTCCGAATTGGTAAATGATTAGTGCGTCAAAATGACTTAGATATATACATTCATGTTAAGGTGGTGTAACTGGAATATGAATCGACACCGAAAAGTAAGTGGAGTTCCAAGATAAAAGAGACAGAGCTCCTGCAATTTACGCGACAGTTATGAGTGAAACAAACTAGCACATTTATAGCACATTAAAATTGTAAATCATATAGAACGGACATGTATAGTTAGACGGGGCCAATTAGAATTAAAAAATATATATAGGTTAACTCCACGACAAGTGAATTGATTGGATTAACAACTTTTGGGCACACAGAACGGGGCTATGTAATCGGATCAGTAAAGCCTCAATTATTGCCAACAGTTTTGCATTGTGGTTACATAACAACGGCTTGAAAGAGGAAGCGGGATCAACTATGTCTTTGGTTGTCATGAGGCGTTTTGCAATTGATGACCCCGGGTTACGTGTGAACATCTGATTACAAGACATAGGTTGCGTCATTGACTTCACTAACCACTTTGGAATGTGTTCGGCCATATATATATTTTTAAATTCTAATGGGCCCCGTCTAACTATACATGTCCGTTCTATATGATTTACAATTTTAATGTGCTATAAATGTGCTTGCTTGTTTTACGTCAGCGATTGAGTGTCCTTGTTTTGGCATAGTTAATTTTCTGATAAAGACTGTTATTCAGTAGCCTTAGGAACCGAGAACAGAGTTCCCATTTTTGTTATTTTCCATTTCATATTAGTATCAGTACTCCACTTTTGATTTACTTGTGTACAGAATTGAGTGAAAATTTGTTCCATTGACAGATAGATAGATATAACTCAAGAATACAGTTTGGAATACGATTTGACAACACCACTCATTTCTGTCAGTTGAAATTCTTCTATTCTGTGATACAGTTCATTTCCCTCGGGTCAGTAAACCCAGGTTCGATTGATTTTCTTTTATGCTCACATTCCCACACATTTTGACCGATTCACTTCATTTCCAGATTGCAGCTATCTGGATCACGAACCTCGGAAACCGATTTGTATCGCAGATGAGGGATTGCTGTTGAAAAAACGCATTATTCACCAAGAGAGACACGGGACTTGTCAACCGGAAGAACGATGGCTGAAGAAAAAGATTGGTAAGTGCGGACTGATTCACGAGCAAACATATCACGTTCTCTGACAAGTTAATATTCAGACGGACATTTTACCCAGTGGCTAGATTGAACGAACCCCCGTTGTGGTAATACTATTAGTTGGCTTTGCTTCATTTATTCGCAGCAAATCTGGAGATGAATTCACGTGTGTTCATGGGTACAAACTGTTTATTCCTTATATTGGTTCTTTTGAAGATGATTTAAGCAGAGATAATAAATCCACCAATCAAGTACCAGAAGGAGAAGACAGTTACTCTACAAGATCGAAATGTGTAAAAGGATGAATCTGTTTACAAGGACCTGACACATGATCTGGCACCCGGTAATTACCTTCTCGTAAACGCCTCCTTATGGGTAGTGGAGAGATAGAGTAGTTTGTCATTTGTTTTGCGGTTAATTGTGGAATCCAGTTGAAGTTAGGCAAAAAACTGTGCAGATCTGTGCCGAGTGCTCATTATAAAAAACCATTGCACTAGCTATTCACTTCCCGCTGCTAGAAATTCACAGATATAAGCACATTGTTAATTTATGGACCAAGAGAACTTACTCGGTTGTTCTTCTCTTCTTCACGTGCATCCGAACTGCCACATATGCAGTTTGCCAGGACGGAGTGAACATGAAGGTTAACTGCAATCCACAGACGTGTCAAGGGGAACAAATTTCCACCTGGTTTGAACGTGTTGGTTGTAGTTGCGTTCCCCGTGAGCGTAAGACCCAGGGAAAATGTTGTTGCCCCAGCCCGCGCGAAGAGCATCGATGCTTGGATGATGGAAAATTGGCTGTGTTGGATAAAATATCCTATCGGTTGGATCCAGTTCGAATGGAATGTGTGCAGCAGGTGGACCGAGTGCGACGCGATGTGGGTAAGTGTCTTGACACCCCCGCCCTCCTCTGAGTGAGACCGGTTTTTGTTGGACTGCACTGTCACTAATGCAGCTTGGGAGAACTACCTTTTGTTGGAAGCAAATCATTAACCATGATAGTATTACTGTTTTTACCATCTAATCGGGAAACTTTGATTTTCTTCAAACGGAAAACGAAAGAGCTGAGTGAAGGTATCCATAATTCATTGATTATATTATTATTACTACTAACATTAATAATATTATTACCGTTATTCACACTATTATTGTTATTATATTTTATATGTATCTGACCCCAAATAAATCATAGTGCAACGATCTTCATTAAAAGATAATCAGCCATATTCTTTTGTGTGGAATACTTCCGAAATCGCTTGAAGCAAACCCTAGAACGTTCCTACTATATCTTTTCACCGCTATTCTGAATTTTCTGGTAAAATTACCGATTTGATCCAAATAGAAACGAAAGAAGTAATCTTAGTTTCTTGCTACATGGTTTATTTGAATTCTTTTCAGAATGTTCGGAAGGTACTCCCCACGTGTTACGTCGCTACTGTGATCGGGAAACGTGTCACCCAGTCTCGTTGCTTAGAAGAATCGTGCGACGAAATTGCCAGTGCGGAAATCTCGTGCGACGCGTCGTGCATCGGAATCATCAGTGTTGCTGTCCACCACCGCGTTTCACCGAAAAATGCTACGAAATGTATGGAGTGCTCTCACGTGTTGTCTACAAGTATGAATTATTTAGAGGTCATTGCGTGACTCGAAAAATTGTGGATCAAGATCAGATAGGTGAGCCTTTTGCATTTTCCACTTGAGATCTCCCATTTCGAATTGTATTACTCATTGGTAGCTGATGTGGAAAAGGTAGGTCATAAACTTTATCCGGCTATCAATGAGGCCCATTTATCGAAGAGACATTTTTATAGAATGATCATGTGAGGCCCAAAGTGCGTAGATTTGTTGCCAACTTAAGGTTTTATACCAACATAAAATTTTAACTTGCCTCATCTATCCTCGAAAAAGTACAACCCCGGGAAAGTTTTTACTCTCATTCTAACATTTTTCCTCTCAACGTACTCTATTTTTCAGGTGCTGAAATTGCGTTATAATCTTTCGGATGAGAAATTAAATCCCTGGGAGTTTGTCTGTCTGATCTGTTTGGTGTATTTTTTTATCAAAGAAATTTGTAGTGTTCGATCCCCGACAGGGATCCAAGAAATAGATGCAGCTGATTTGTCGCAATATGGAGGAAACAGCTATCCATTATCTTTTGTCGTTCCTCACGCAAACTATTACTCTGTAGAAAAAGAAATGTTCCGTACTTCACATTTCGGTTTGGAAGTGAACGTTGCTCGGTAGAGAGAAGCAGGTGAACGAATGATAGGAAAAACACATCCGGGAGACATATGTGCACACGCATTCGCTAAAATATACCATTCCAGAAGAAGCAAGCATCTGGGGCCACTCACCTCATCTCGAAAGCAGCAGAACGGTAAAAAAAAGAGTGATTCACCCAAGATCTGTGAAAGAACTTGCCAAGAAAAGCATCAGAGATAGGGACCACTAAATTAAAATTAAATAGGATAGATGCAGTTTCAGTTTCAGTTTGTTTCAGCTTGCACAATCATTAACCCTGCACTATAGTGCGCCGGCTTTGGTTGCTATCTTTCGGCTGTCAATTTGGATGAACATTTGGAGAAAGACAGAAAAGATTGAAAGTAGGATCGAAGAGAAAATTAAACAGTTCAGTGGATGAATGATACAGAGAAATTAAGAAAATGCATGAGCGCCACTGTTTACGACACCCAGTCATATCACTCATTGTCCCTAACCATCGGGTACGACCATCCCGAATCGCTCAGCCAGGGAGCCTAATGGGACCTGTGTGACCTAAACTCCTGGCAAGGGTTTTCATACCTTCATGTCAGGTCTTAGCTTGACCACCTTGGACTTTCGTCCACTCACTACCTGCCTCGGCAAATATCGCTCGCCGTGGCAGCCTATTTGGAGACATGCGTAACACATGCCCCAACCAACGTAATCTATGGAGGTCCACCACTTGCTCCAGTGGGCAACGGTGGTTGCCTAAAAATTTTCGCCTGACCTCAGCATTACTCGTCCGGCTGTCCCACCAGATTCGTATAATGCTGCGTAGACACTGGTGTTTAAACACCGACAATCTATCTTTATCCTGTTCCAGTAATGGCCAAGTCTCTGCACCGTATAGCAGAACTGGCCGAACTACTGCAGCATATACTCGACCCTTCACAGATAGCCGGATGTAGCGACAACGCCACAGATGTCTCAAGTTGGCAAATGCCAAGCGAGCCTTCTGTATGCGAAAAGATACTTCATCCGTGATGCATCCACCGGGTGAGATGTAGCTGCCCAAATAACAAAACTCATCCACCTGCTCCATTACTTCTCCAGTAAGATTGAGACTGGGTGCTGGATCAACCCAGTCTTGTGCTAGCATTTTACACTTTAAAGGTGCAAAACGTATACCGAATATGACTACACTAGCACTCAAGCAATCCAGGAAAGTTTGTAACTTACCTAGATTTTCACTTAGTAGCACAATGTCTTCTGCATACTCTAGATCAAACAGCCCGCCACCTGGGAGTAGATCGATGCCACTATCCTCGCACAAGGATAGGGCTGTTTCCATAATCAGTTATATAACAAAGTTAAATAGAAAAGGAGAGAGAGGGTAACCCTGTCGAACACCACTTTCCGTGGTGAACTCGGGCGAAAAAGTGCCCTACGCTCGAATTCGGCTTCGGCTATTATTGTAGAGGGATTGTAATATTGAAACAAACTTCTCGGTCAAATAGAAAAGGAGAGAGAGGGTAACCCTGTCGAACACCACTTTCCGTGGTGAACTCGGGCGAAAAGGTGCCGTAAGCTCTGGCTCGGCTTCAGCTATTATTGTAGAGGGATCGTAATATTGAAATAAACTGCTCGGGCACATCTTTCTGGGAAAGGCAGCGCCAGAGTTTACAGCAGTCGACTGAGTCGAAGGCCGCTTTCAGGTCGAGGAAAATAGAGATGGTGAGTCTACGAAAAGAATATCGGTGCTCCAGTATTTGACGGGGAATGAAGATGTGGTCGATACAACCTCGGCCAGGTCTAAAACCAGCCTGGTTCNGTAAATTGATACCGATATACCTGCATGAGGATAGGACTGTTTCACGAATTAAATCTATCAAAAAGTTAAATAGAAAAGGAGAGAGAGGGCAACCCTGTCGAACACCACTTTCCGTGGTGAACTCGGGTGAAAAAGTGCCCTACGCTCGAATTCGGCTTCGGCTATTATTGTAGAGGGATTGTAATATTGAAACAAACTTCTCGGTCAAATAGAAAAGGAGAAAGAGGGCAACCCTGACGAACACCACTTTCCGTGGTGAACTCGGGATTGCCGTAAGTCCGAACTGGACTTTGGCTTTTATTATAAAGCGATTGGAATATTGGAATCAACTTCTCGGGCACACTTTAAAGAGAAAGGTAGCGCCAGAGTTTAGAGCGGTCGACTGAGTCGAAAGCCGCNGGCAGACAATCGACGGAGTATGATACCAGCGAGAAGTTTAGAGGCAATGTTGATTAAACTAATTCCTCTGTGGTTTTCATAAGAGAATATGTCACCTTTCTTGTAAATCAGTATGATGACCGATTCACACCATTCAGCTGGAACCTGTTCCCTCTTCCAAACTGAGCCCAGGAGTTTCGTTAACTCCGAAACCAATGCTAAGTATCCATCCTTAAAAACGGATAGGGAGAGCCCTTCTGGGCTGAAAGCCTTATACCTTTTGAGATAGCTTATTTGCCGGGAAACCTCCATTTCAGATTGAGGATTGGTGTCGACTGGCAGAATTTGCGCAGTCGCAGTGGCGAGTGACAGTTCGGATGTCGATGGGGCCCAGTTTCACTGAACCTCAAAATGTTCAGTCCATCAATCAAGACGTCGTTGCTGATCGTGTATCAATGTGCCATCGGATTCCTTAATTACCTCACGCTTATTTTCCTAGGACCCTACGATAGATACAACTAACACTGTGGTAATTAGATCGATTATCAATTTCCTGATTCTGTTTTTCGTGAGTCTTTAGCTACACCAAGTGCATGCATGTGAAGATGGAGATTAAAATTCCTCTTTAAGTTATCAGTAGATAAAAAATACTGAGGAATAGAACGATTCGAAAATGAGCTTTTGTGTGTATTTTAGCTTGTGTCTCACGAATATCGGGGACTGTGTCGAATTTGAGCTTTTCCTAACTTATGCCGGAATTCAAACAATTCACATTCTTCTTGAACACATGAATACTTACTTGGTTCTTGCCGCGACTAGGGAAATCATCGTAAGGAAGGGCATCTACTCATAATTGTGCTAGTGCTTGAAAGGTAACCAGAAATACCTCGCTCACTTGACTTATATGTTTCAACTAGTTTAATAAATATTGCAAATGTTCGTTCGTTTGGGTTTATTCACATCTTTCATTCTCTCTTTCTCTCTCACTTATACATCGATGTGTGCTCTTTCCTCCACATGTGCTTGCACTCTACTCGCGTCGGAGACAACGCAGTGACCAGTCGAATGGGTGATAGATATTAAAAGGGAATCTGTATAATATATATAGATGAATAAGCCGACCGTTCTCGACCGTAAATTATACTCTGTCTTGTCCGTGATTTACATTTATTCATCTGACCTTGAGAATTTGTAACTTGACATCAGAAAATATTTGTCCTTTTTTGCATGTTTCCTAATACTCCTACCTATTTTTCTTTTCACCCCGCTCAATCAACACAGTATGTCCTCCCGAACGTGTGGAACGCCACCAGCCTTGTGATTCACGAACCGGGTTGAGACCGGTGATTCGTCATATCCATGCTCGAATAGGGTGTAAATGTTTGCTACAAGTCAAGCACGAGATGGAGCCCTGTGGTGAGTGCTTATGTTCACTAGGTTGTGTGGACTTAATGGCGATTGGAGATGGTGTGCGCCGATGTGGGGGAGACAGATGGCTGTTTGTTTGCTTCTCGTATTCGCTAGGTGCCGTCCGAAATGTCCAATTAGCAGTCGACCCATTCCATTCAATTCCAGAGAATACGACACAACCAACTTCCATTTCACACAACTATATTTCACGTTTAATGTGTTACGTATGCATTTGTATGGTGCATTCTTTTGTCCACTTGGTTTTCTGGTTTTGTCGGGATCAAAGAAAATAGTGAAGTACTATTCGCCAACTATTCACCCCGGAGTTGGATGATTAACCGTCGGTATTATGGTTACATAATACAGCATCCCAATTTATCGTCAAGATTCAACCAAACAGTAATCTAAGTATCCACGAGGTAAACAGGATTGAAAGTGTGCTTCAAATGTGGTAAGTTGATTATTGATCTTTCACCAGTAAATATGCCTAACCGTATAATTCAGGGGTAAAATATAGACAATGTAGACCTCACCGGTTATTTTCATTAACTTCTCAGCTCCCACCAAATTCAGTGTTTTGTTTTCTATACTTCCTTTATTGTGCACGCTATATGATGCTATTTTGGCTGTTCTATTCCTAAAATCACGTCTTCTTTTCCTTAGGTTGTCCACCACCGCGTTTGATCAAGGAGAACTGCGGTCCGGGAATGCTATTCCGCAAGGTCGTTCGGGTATGGTTTGAGTTGGAAGGAAACCCAGTTGATGGACGAGTTCAATGCCGGGAACGGTCAATGCATTTGTACACAGAGCCATGTAGTGAGTAACACAAGCTATTTGCTATTTTATTACCATCGCGACGAGACTGCACTTTGACGTGGTGTGATGGCTTGAGCACTTCTCTGACCCAACGAGCTATACGGGATGGCTTTTGTCAAGCCGAAGATCTAATCATGCCTGGAAGGTCAATGGGTAGAGGTCAAACGAAGTCCAGTCTCCTAATCCTCCAGGTTGGGGTTTCGACTCGAGTTAGCGTCTCAGTCGGTAAAATGGTGGAGGAGTAATTGATCCAAGTAAATGGACCTCTACTTCGCTTTACCCGCTGCCTTGCACTCAGGTTTTTGTCAGAACTAAAGGCTTTGGACAAGAACCCTAATCAGGATCTTAGTACTATATACAATTTAAGTTCAACGACGTTATCTTCGAGGTTCTTCCTCCGCACGTCAGGTGATGATGAAGCCCTTTCAGTAGGCCAGCGTGGTGTAGGCATTGTACTGAATAACACAGCCGAAGCTGCACTACTCGATTGGATCCCCGTCAAAGGCCGCTTATGTGCGAAGTAGCTCCAAGGGTCTATCAGCGCTGGGAAGCAACACCAAAAAGTGTTTGTTCATCATTTCAGTGTATGCATCGACCAACTGCAGTTCTGACACAAAGGACGAGTTTAATGATAAACTCACCAAACTCATTCGGTTGAGTCGAAGCTCCGATATAGTTGTTCTCTCAGGTGATTTAAACGCTCAAGTTGGAAAACTGAGCGCATCGGAAGCTTGTCTAGGCGGTCGTTGTGCTCTGCCCTGCCAGCTAACAGATAATGGCAATCGACTTCTTCAGTTCTGCGCAGATTATCATCTGTTTCTATCCAACACCAACTGCCGACACAGCTCTCAACGGACAGTAACGTGGCGATCAAATTCAACTGGCACTCTAACTCAGATCAACCACACAGCAGTAACCTACCGTTGGCGTGGTTCAGTACAAAACTGCAGGTTCTATTGGACCACCTGCGTTGAATCTGAGTATGCGTTAGTTTTGATGCAGTTCACTCTACAACTCACTGGTCGCAGAAAATCCCATCAAACTCGATTGGCAGATCATCGCTTGTCTGACCCAGTCCGTTTTGAATCAGAACTAGGTGAAGAGCTAGAGGAACTGCGGGGATGGTAGTGTAAATAAACAAGAGATCTCGCAATGACTGCGCAAACCATCTTGGAATAAGTTTGATCCCAATCGTCGCCAAGTTACTAGCCTACATTATACTTCAACATCTGACACCGTTTATGGGGCAAACATTCGCGAACAACAAGCAGAATTTCGACCAGGTCGCGGTTGAATCGACCAAATCTTCACACTGCGTCAAGTCCTCGAGTTACGCCATACGCACCGTCGACCAACGGTTGTCGTGTTCCTTGACCTAAAAGGAGCCTTTGACTCAGTTGATGGTGAATCCCTTATGGGTTCACTCCTTCGCAAAGGAATGCCGCAGAAGTATACGAACATACTGAGTTCACTCTACTCACATCCCTCTGGTAGCGTAAGGGTCTATGGCGAGCTGAGTAGGTCGTTCTTAACTAGGAGTGGTGTTCGTCAAGGGTGCCCTCTTTCGCCATTCATGTTCAATTTCGTCATGGACGGAATACTGGAGAACACACTAGGTGGTTTACAAAATGTAGGTATTGAATGGGCAGCTGGAGAAAAGCTGTGCGATTTGGAGTATGCTGACGAAATCGTTTACCTGTTCAGATGTACAAAGAGCACTTGACAGATTATCAAGTTTTGTCGCTCCGTTAGGCATGTTCCTTGCATCTTCAAAGTGCAAAGTGATGCTACAAGACTGGTTGTCGCCGAGTTCTGTTCTGAAACTAGACGGTCAGGAATTAGCCGAAGTTGACTGCTTCTCTTACTTAGGTAGCTGCGTGACCAACGATGGTAGCACATCAAAGGAGATAACCGCCCGCATCTCCAAGGCTCAAGCAGCTTACATAGGACTCAAACACCTGTGGCGGCGACGTTACATTTCACTACAGTTGAAAAGTCGCGTATACTGCGCCACCGTACGATCAGTTCTACTTTACGGTTGTGAAACTTTGAATTTGTGGGTAGAAGACACCCGTCGTTTAGCAGTGTTCGACAATCGATGCTTATGTAATCTGGCTCAGGTTGGATGGAGTGAGCGGGTTAGTAACTTAGAAGTAAGTCGTCGGGTATTTGGTAATACATCAAACAAGAACTCGCTGTCGCATCGAATTTAGCTCAATAGGCTCCGTTGGTTAGGACACGTTTTGCACATGTCTGGCGGTCGCCTACCGCATCGCGCCTTGTTTGCAGTGGCTGTTACAGGCTGGAGAAAGCCACATGGAGGCCAGCAGATGACGTGGAGACGATGCACAAATAAATGTATAGAACGATTAGATAGAGTAGGTGTCTCCTGTCTTCCGGGTTGGGATCCAAAAGGCTCCGAAACCGCATGATTGGAGACACTGAAGGTCATAGCTGCGAACCGACAGCAATGGCGCTCTTGCTGTCACTTCTTATCAGACCAGAGGGCTTGAAACATTATGTATGCACAGTTGGACAGTGTACTCTGTTTGTTGACCATAGAGGTTCGCTTTCTTTTCCCGTCCCTAAAAACAGGCCCAATCCCTGTCCTTTTTGCACATTATCACTTACCTTTTATGCATTATGAGTTTGGCAGCTATCAGTGAAGTTCGCTTCACTGTATTACGCTGTATAATGATAATAAAGAGGATGATGCTAATTTTATGAACCACATGACCAGTGTGAAGAAGTATAGGAGACTGGTGTTGATTGTAACCGAAATGCTGCATTCGGGAATGTGGAATAGTAATAAGCACAATGTAGGAACCATTATAGGGGAAAATGGTGATCATTTACGTTCAAACCTTTCAAAAATTGGGTTTCTATAAAAAGATAAGTGTTCTTTTGTTACCGTTATGACGAGGGAGATACTTCTCCTATCTAAATGTTTCAACGAGGTCACTTTGGTCAAGTGTGTCGTATAAGAAGGACTTAGTATATGACAGTAGTGCTGTCACGGGCTCCGTGGCTTTACGGTTGACCGATAAATTACCGTAATAAAACCAGAGGAGTTAAGTTATAGTTTCGTGAAAAAGTCCCTCTTGATACGTTTTATAAATCTGTTGGTAGAACGTTAGAGATTAGTCCTCATCCTTAGGCTATTCTCGTGGACAATGTAGAAAACGGTGTTCGCAAAATTGTTTTTTCAATGCATCGCATCAAGCGGTCACACTTATGAAGCGATCATAGTATTGGTATCTGAGTGGTCGACTACAGGCAATTGCAATTCCCATTTTTAATCCCAAAAGATGCAAGCAAAAGATGCTAGTCCATACACTGTTCTTAGTTAGACGTGGACTCCGGATTGATTGTACATAAACCAGATTATCAGCCCTCCTCTGTAGACAGATACACCCGCCTCTAACCAGTATCATCATCCACCACAACATTAGTCAATTACTATTTTCTTTCTTCACTGTCCCTTTCCGAAAGCATCACATTGCTAGGCATGACATTATAGTTTCTATAATGTATCTCACTTTGAATCATCCCGCTCACCCGCGTTAGCTCTCGACTATCATCAATATTTTGATCAACCCTTCTCTATACGGCTATTTCATTTGACCGTAGTACTCTTACCCCCTCCATAACTATTGCATTGACTACCGCTAACCACTGTCAAATTGGCATGTTATGCTTGCTCGCCTCTGTCATTATTATAAGCTGAGCTGTAATCGGCCACCCAGATATCTGTACGTAACAACCTGATACGGTGTATCGAAAAGATATTTCTTTCTTGAACACCGTTTTCTGCAATAGATTAATCTCAACAAATTATTGAATTTCGCAAAGTTCAACACACTTGATTGCGGAGACCGTGGGCTACAATTGGGAATGTTCCCGCAAGGAAGAAAGAGAAACGGATTTTCAAATGTTGTCACAAATTTGGCACAATTTTGTGCCCCGATAGCAGATGGAAGCAAAACAAATGTTTCAGCCCACAGTGAAGTCGCGTTCTCCGTCTTTGCCTGGGCTAAAAATAAAGCCTAAATCGTATCACACCTCAATACGGTTTTCCAGCGCAACCTGAGCGTTTTGTGCACAAACATTCCAAGTTGAAAATGAGTCCTTATCTCATCGAAGACTTATCACTCGGTGTGAATTTCTTCTGATCCCTTGAAAACGATATAAAAATAAGTCCAATTTGAGAATCTTGTCTCAGAGATAAAGAATTTGATGCCCAATTTAGCAGATGAACTAGAACATTTCAATTATACCTTGGTAAACCGTTGCAATCAATTTGGCAAGCACAGTCCACTAAATCGTGAACTACTGATTGTAAAACAATTCGACGAAATGAAAGCAATTAGAAAACGAAATGACACTGCATTAAGTAAGCCTAAAAATGAAGCTGGAATCATAATCCAATTGCATTCAAAATTTTACAGATTTTTTGACCGATGAGATTACATATGTTCACCTTCCAAAACAGATTGGCAGAACCACGCATATTGAGAAGAAAATCTTTAAAGGATCAAAGTCCCATAGATCCATTCATTTTTGAAGGATCCACGATCCCACATCTGTGCTGGTTACCAAAGGTTTAGAAGACGGGCTTACATTTTTCCGATCTACTCTATCAATGATCAGCTCCCCGTATCACGGCACTGCGAAATGAATTGCGAATATCCTAGAACCAATATGGCAGCAACTAACCAAACAGAGCTTAATGGATAGTTTCGAATTCGTGAACACGATCCGAGAACATAAAGGAAACGANAAACGACGATCGAATTTTTCCTCTAGATGTAGTTTCATTATGCACCAACATGGAAACGGTTGATTTCATCTGTAACTACATCGAAGAAAATGGAATCGATATAAAAGTAATGGTAGGAAAACTAAAAGAACTGCTATTGGAGTGCACTTAAGACGTCCAGTTTCTATTCAACGGAAAACTGTATCGTAAGACGGATGGTGTCTCTATGGGCTCTTAACTAGTGGGTACTATTGGATATGTTCATGGTAAAACCGGAGACCTCAGTCCTGGAATCGGAAGTAATAATGATAAAATTCTGTAGGCAGTATATTGACAATATATTTTGCATGATCGGTACAGAGGACAAACTGGCCTACGTCAAGTTTACATTTAACAAAGCTCATACGTTTCACCCTGGAAGCAGAGAAAGATAGCATTTCTTGGCATTCCTTAACGTAGCTTTGAACAGGATGTACAGGATGAACTGCTTAAAAGAAGGGTGTACAGAAAAGAAACGTGAACAGCACGGTACGCCAATTTTCACAGTTTCGTGCCACTTAGACAAAAGAGAAACCTAGTTTCGCGTGCACGAATGATTTGTTCTAAATCCACGTTTGCAGATAAGGTAGATAAAATTAAAAACTTGCTCTGCCAAAACGGATTCCCCCGAAGAATCATAGAAAGAAACCTAGAAGAAAGCCCGTTCAGCAAGCCCCAACAGAGAACTTATTTGTTTAACTGAGCTCATTAGAAGACTTTTGATGCGTACTGTGAGAGGAACCTTTAATCCAATCAGTTTGCCATGCGTTTTCACGGGCTCACCAATAATGAGAACATTTAATAAAGGTAGTTAACTACGCCGGCCTCATCTACGGTTATCTATTCCTTCAGCTGCGTTTGTAGCGCAAATTACATGGGTCGAACGGCGAGGCAGCTGCCATAGCGGATTAAAGAACACTGTACACATCGGAAAAGGTAGTACAGGAAGCGTTATTCTAGCTCACCTAGCATACTCAGGTCACCCAATGAAGTCTGAATCAGCTTTCAAAGTTATCTACCCAGTATCACTTCACCTACCAAACTCGTTGCAGCTCCACACCTTAGTCATTGCGGAAGCGATCGGAATTCATTTGTTCTGTGTACAGGAGATTGGTTCATGCCATTCAACTGTCGAAGATCGATCGCAAGGATGACGCATTACTACCTGATTGCAGTTTTATTGTAACCCAGTGGCGTAAAACATATCACACCACTCACCCCAAATACCTTTCCCTCCCATCCAAACTCACATCCTTTCACACTTTTGATGGAAAAGTTGGGTGGTTAAGATGAACGAAACTGCATATACACAGTTTGCACCACAAACAGTGCCAAACTCGATGTCCCAAAAGCTGGATAAAGTAATAAAGTAGCGATGAATGTAAGCATGATACTGAAATGCGATGAGCTTATCTTTGATACCTTTCGCGAAGTCCGCAAATAAATAGCGTTTTTACATCAATTCCAGGGAATACAACTTTTCCTATCCCCGTTGATGACCGTCGCAGGAAGTGATTGATTTTTCCAACTAAATAACTACCAGTCTGGGCTAATTGTGAGAAAAGCCCCTAATTTCTGTCGTGAAAACGTTTACGAAGATGCGATCGTGACAGGTATCACACACTTCACAATTGTACATTGTGAACTTTGTAAGATCACTACAATTTCGCGCAGTCATACTTTTAAAATAACCTTGTCTCTTTTTCTGATGATCCCAGCTATTATTCCATTTTCGAGAAAAGTGAATTTCCGCGAACAAATTTCTTCATTAGATTGGATATACGATATGTTGGCTTGTAAAGTGCGACAGAATTACACTGACGAAGTTACGTTTCGATATTACTGGTTGGATTTGGGTTGTACCAATTAAATACCAGAAGAACATTCAAGAAATGTGTTCTTCCAACGCCTGAGGCTTAAAACTATAAAATGACATGGAAATAATCCGTATTCTTCGCATTTTCCGCAGGCCTATACAAAAAGAACGTTACAATGCAGTTATTTGGCTCTCTTTCAGACGATCATTTGAGTGAATGTCGTAAATAAGTACTTTTATGTGTAAATCTATGATAGTTTACAACTGATTCGTCAGGCGAACAGTTTCTTAACAATATGTATCAGTTCTGACTCCTCAATGGTTATCAGTTCAGAAGCGGTTTGAATAGCCATTCATCACCTCTATTGCTTTATATAACATTCAAAACCTCGGCTTCCTCCACCCCGTGCATTCAGAATGTCCACCGCCGTCTGTTACCAAACACTGCAACCGTGGCGAACTGGTGTTTGTTCGACGTGAGCACCGCATGTCCATGCACACAGGTCATCCAGCTTGCCAGCTGAAGACTTTCGTGAAAAAGGTACCGGTCATGTGCGATCAACAATCCACCCGACATTATCGTTCGGCGTGCTGGAATCATCAGCGCAAAGTGGTCCGTATCAGACAGAGACTTGACCCTTCCACATGCGAGTGTCGCTCGATGGCCAAGGTAGACTTTGAAGCTTGTGGTAAGTGTAGCCCCAGATTAAATTAACAGATTGAAGTTTTATGTTTGAGGGGATAGTTTTACAGTTGATTCCTTTGTGTTTCTTACTTGCTTACTTCATCGAAATTGGATGATGAGATTTACCAGTAGGTGAATGGTGTATCCGACATTAATCTGAATCCCGGGGGAGAAGTAAGTCAAATGTTAATTACAGCATGAGGACCATTTGCATTAAGGAAAGCAGTCCATTATTTGTATGAGGATACCAAACCCATTCACATCTTTTGGAAGCAACATTTGAATAAAGCACAGCTGATACCGTCGGCAATGGAACGACCATCACCAACGATACCAACGCTACTACCACCAGATTAGTTGTACGAGTTATTCGGACACCAATCCTCTAATACACAGAAATCTGCCTTGAAAACCGAGGGCGTAGTATACGTGAGGATGAAGTCTGTCAAAAGTTTATATACCTAAAAACAAAGAGGGAATTTGTTAAGTGAAACCAAAACAAAAAATTAAGCTCTGAGCTGAAAAGGCGAGGACCTGGAGGTTGAGTAAATAACTGGGATGTGAGTGAGCATCACCAGGTTGGTCCCAAGTTGCACTGCCAAAATATACGCTTCACTGACGTTCTTGCCGTTTATCCAAATCACTCAACTCAATAGGAGTTTTCTCATTATTTTATGGTGCTTATTTAGTCACGTAAGTTTTGTATTTTACCTGTGCTAATTTGTCACGGCTGATTTTTTCGAGCAATGAACAAAATGTTCAAGCATGAACTCGTGTAAAATGAGAAGTCTTTTGCATGGGTAATTGTACTAGTGTTAGTACCAATTCACACAATTTCACCGCAAAAGGATCCGTTTATCCTAAAGTCCACATCCATTCTGTTACCCAGGTTGAGCCCCGAAGATATCTGATGCAAACCTATTTTCGTTTCCGGATGTGCCCTTTTGAAAGTAAAATTCATACGACAATATGAAAATCCATTTACGAGGAATCATGAAAAATATACGATACAAAGTATTTATCATTAATTGGCTCGGCTTAAAGTTGAAGCGGCTTACAAATATGCCGAAGGACATAGAAAATTACGCAGAATACTGATATCATTTTTTTAAATTTACGATATGCTGCACACGTTTAATAAACGTTAATTTTACCGTTTGTAGAAGGTCTGCCGTAGGTCATTTTGAAATTACGACTGGAATGATATTTTGTTTTGAATATGCGATAGAAAAATATACTCTAAGATCAAATGGATGAAATAATCAAGAACCTTAAAGAAAGAAAGGTAAGCAGATCGGAGCTTGGTGTCCAAGTAAACAGCTATCAAAAGAACTGACGAATGAGTGTTCCACGAGTTTCAGCAAATCCTGTACATAGCCTATTTCACAATAAAAAATTCCGACCAATTTTTATGTATCAGAGTCAACACGTCATACTTCAAAGGTTTGACTCTATCAAAGACCCGTAAACCATAACATTTACCGTGAAGAATAGCATGGCACCAACTCAGTGGAATGGTCTGATACAGAGTCTCCAATCTTGCATAAACGGTTCTCTAGAAAAGCTGATGGTAACACTGCAGCAATAAGTCCTCTCTCATGTGTGACACATTTTTTCTATTGGTCTGAGATCGCTGATGAACCGAATATACCGTATGAACCGAGTTAAGCGCATGTTCTCATTTTCCGCTCGATTCATTGTCAGATTGCCATCTGAAGAACAAGGAGAAATCTGAGTGTCAGAACGGCGTACTCAGGGTTTACGCTACGCGGTACTCATCTCGTCCCGGGCTAAATCGTTGTGTGAAAACCACAACTCGTAGTATACATCCAGTGGGTAAGTTTTGCGTATGCACGCTTTCCAAGTATTTTGGTTCACTCATACCACAAGATCAGTGATTTTCCGTTGGTTCCCTAAAATGATCATGAACACGTTAGGTCTTCTTTCAGTAAATAACTCTTTCCGCTCATCCTTTATATTTTTATTTAGCAAGCATATTAATTGCTAAATTCGGAAGGTTGATTTAATCGATAGAAAATTCGTTGAAAGTCAAAAATAGAAATTCTATTGGAAGAGCTAGCCTGAAATATACCTTCTAAGTTCTGTTTAACTTACGTCTGGCAACGGTCTTCGGACGCACAATAATTTTTCCTCCATTATCAGCTCATGTGAGCTACCATACCGCGCGTTGCAACTGAGTTTTCTACTGCTCAAAATGGGAAACTGGATTCACACGATTTCAAGTTGGTCCCAATCTCACTGTGAACTGTTTTGTGGATTCGTCTGGAAGAAGAACAAGGCATGTATTCAAACGCAGATCACAGACCCTTATTGGACGAACATCGCAAATTTTGATCAGGGCCGTTACATAGAACAACAAAGACCGGAACAGAATCTGATATATCGTTTCGAAAAACCAGTACAAGACTATAATCAGTTGCTTATCACTGTTTGTGCGATCGATGTTTGTCAGACAGTGATTACGTCGTTAAATTGATCAGATTCGGGTGTTCTGTAGGAGAATTGAGCCAGTGCGATTCATCAACCCCATTTCCCATTCAACTTCTCATTGGAAGTAGGCTCTTTTCTGATACCGATTTCTTAGTTGTATGTTGAGACAAATGAAAAGAAAATTAATTAGTTATCATTCGGATTATGCAATCTGAAATACCAGAATATGTTTTGAACAATACGAGGTGAGATGACATCTACTTTTGCGCTTGGCAGTGGTTTGTTTCCACACTATACCTTAGTCACAATTCCTCTCCTTGGGGAAATTTTATTGAACTTTTAGATACAAACTGTCAAATGGAAATTATATATTCTAGCATTCTACCAACTTTTTGTCAAACTTTAAGAAAAGCCGGATTACAGCATGGAAGTCTAGCTTGAATTTTGTAAAATCAACTCCCATGACCGCATCCTCAGAACTTTCCAGGCATCCTGAAGTTCCATATTGACCATGTATCATCCTACTCTCCTGTCAAGGCACCTCCACGTTAAACATTTTCCGTTATTTTTCCTACATCTTTTTTCTGACAGTCTGTTCCGGTCAGACAGAAGTCATTCAGTCCAGTGGATGCACCATTGAACAACCAAATGGCGTGTATCGTTCGGAAGAAATCCGTTGGCGACAAGTGACCAATTGTCAATGTGTTACACAACGAAAACAAGTACTACGATTGTGCGGCTGTCCCCAGCCGCAGGAGGAAAGGCGTTGCTTGGACACAGTGAACCTAGCCGTGTACAAGACCACATTCAACCATGTGGCCGACCAGTGCATTCCGAATCAAGAAGTGGTGACCACTGAAATTCGTAAGTTACTGTTCCTGAGTAGTGAAGTTTGATAGAATTTACTATTTCCAGGCAACTTTCATAGACCTTTCTAATTGTGTACCAATCACAGAGTGGTTGCTCATGTCGCGTTGTGTCAGATCGACTCATCACTTCTCAACTTAATGGGTATTCTTATGGAAAAGACTACCGATTCAACGGTAATATGTTCTGTAATTCAGTTTCTCTTTAAACTCAATGGATTACCCTGTGTTTTCTCTGGCATAAACAGGTATCGCAACTCTACGGTACACTCTTTAGCGTGTATTCTGGCCAATAAGGAATAGGTTTTCGCAGACGTTGTTAAAAGTTTGGGAGAACTTTTTCCCCTTTATCTCAACCGTGAACACTTTAGATAGAAATGCAGGCTTTAGGACTACAGAAGTTTAGTAGTAATCACAATCAATGTACGGAGAACTTGGTAAAGCATTTATGAGGGACGGTGTAAATATGTTGGTCACCCATCTTCTGTAAATAGTTTCCAAACGGCACTGGAATCGACGCAGATGACATTCACTTGGATCAGTTCGCACGAGTTTTAACCCTGTGTCGATCATAAAAATATCCAAAATTATTATTGCCACGTCCATTAAATAGCTGTTTTCTTTTTGGTGAAGGGCCTGAACTTGTGTTAAAAACGAAACTGGAATAATGTCCCCTTGAATTGTGGGCTTTATATCAAAATCATTCAATAAATTTATTTTCACAAGGAAACAGGACGAGCCATCAGCACGTCACTAGTGCCCTGAGAAAACAAAGTTTGATTATTTGGAATGTGTCAGTACAGTACAGTGGACAATGACCTTCTTAAATCCGGCGGCTCGCCATCAGGAACCCTATGCACATATTGTGAATGACAAGTAGCCTACCATAATATTAGTTAACCGTCCTGCACGAGAAAAAGTCTGGGGAAACTTGTGGTAATTTTTAGAGACAAATAATGTTCGCCCTCAAGGATGCGCATTCATTCTCTGTTCTCTAACGATAATCGACCGAAATTTAACGGCACAGTTTTCGACTTGGCTCACACTCGTCGAACACCGTGTGAAGTGTGCCATTTTCCCCCGGAACTTGTTCACTATACTGTTCAACCTAGACACACTTGGCGGAATCATCCAGTCACAGAGTGAGACATAACGTAATCGATTTCGGACCGGTACACGTCCAGTTATGACTACCGCGAGAATGTCTTCACTAACCCATCTGTTGTGCGTTCAGCTTTCGCTTTATCCGTTGCTTTTTTATTAACTTTGACAACAAAAGTACCCTCGTTAGAAAATAATTGAGGGTTAGCAAATGCCATTATATCGGTTTCGAGTAGCAAACAGTAATCTAATATGCCTTGTTAATAGCAGAATCCTTTGCAACAATCATTTGCAACACACTCCTATCTCACACTGCTACCTTCATGCTCGTGCAACAGGTTGCATCCGACCTGCTCGAATCGTTGACAAAACGTCTTGTGAGCATGGTTTACCACTGGATCAAAATCCGGCAGGTTGTATGGAACAGATTACGGTGGCTTTTGATCAGGTGGAAAATTGCCAGTGTATTACGCGCACACTGAAATTCAGACGTCCCTGTTGCGTGCCCGAGCCGCGGACAGAGAGACATTGTGATGCATCTCGATCACGATGGGTGACCACCAGGACCACATACAAACTATCTCCGGCAAAGGTGAGTTCAGGTTGCGTGTGTGNGGGGGGGGGGGGGGGATACTTCATCGATGGGCAGATTATGGTCTGAACCATGTATTTGTCATTGGAACTGGATGTCGGTTGTGTTAAAAAGATTTGTAGCAAGCTGTTTCATCCAATTTGTTAAGGATCATTGGCATTGTATCTGCTACAAGCAGAGTAAGTTAGTCTGCAATATATACGCATCACAGAGAATCGTCCTATCAACTGCTCCGTCGTTTGTAACTGAAGTCCTAGGTTCGATTTGCAAGTGGGATGATGGATTCAATCTGCGACTCACAACCAGCATGCTTGAAGCAACTGTGAAATGATTCCCGACTTTTCAAATCACATTTCTTTTGCAATGCATGAGAGCAGTTTTATTTTGAAATCCTGACAAATGCTTCAGGATTCCCTCGTTTAAACTGAAAGCCTAATCATGTGTATTGTATGAAAATTCAGTAATCAAGGATTTGAGGGAAATTAGTGGACTGCTTCCCGGGGGCTTGAGATCTAGTTGACTGTACACCAGCCTCAGTGGAATGAGGCTTTTGCATATCGTCATGGTGAGTCACGATATGACTATCCGAAGGCTGCAATTGTACATCCTTAAGTAGATCATGCGTTTCAATTTGGTCTACCTAGCAGCGTTGCATTCATGAATAAAATGCGAATTGATTTCTTTTTGTCACGGATGTTTGTCCCATGATTTGTTAAATACTGTCTGAATAGCCCCATAGAGCGCAGTTTTAAACAAAGCAACTGTTTATTTTCAGTGATTCGTATTCATGCCAATACATCACAATATTTCACTGCTTAGGAATAAAAACTGTCTTCGGAAAATGCAATAAAATATAATCACATCACAGATCACTAGAAGTGATTTCATCACGATCGGATGGATATACATCTTTCAATGATAAAAGCCTCGGAAGTGGATGTATTGGTCCTTTTAAGTTGCCCTTCTATTCACGAACGCTGTATCAAACCATCCGATCGATGAGTGAAGCAGAAACAGCAATCTGTTGTTAGAATCCATTTATAAAGTAAACATTATGTTTGAACGGGCAGTGCTGAAACTGCTTAAAAGCTTGGTGTGTTCGATTTTGCGTTAATCACAAAACACAATGCGAAGTTTGGATCCCATCAATTGTTATATAAATATATTTGTAAGTTCACAAAGTGCATTGCCAACCAACTTGCTAGGTTGGGGTCGAAGCGCAAAGGAGTTGGATAACTTACGCTTGCTCATACGCTAGATTTTTTTGTTGAAAAATGGAACCAACCAGGACCGCTTGTTAAACATTGTTGTTCTAAAGCCAAGGAATTTGAGCTTATGATAGCAAGAGACGGCAGATTATTATGTGCTCCGCCACTATTAAGTCTGGTTTGACTCACTACAAAAACATTTTGCGGCTCTGTACCGTGTAAGAATTTTACACAAACACACTACTCCATTGTCATACACATTGCCCTGTATTCCAAACTTTCCTATCGAAAAATCAGGTTCTATTTGAATCGGGTGATTTGACAATCTGGGATCAAGTTCCGAAGGCAATTCATCATGCAAAAGAGCAAGTGGTCACGTGCCCGGAAGACCAAATTCGTGAAACATGTGATCCACAAACCGGAATGTGGACGCAGACCGTCACCCACTATGAGCGAGTTGGATGTCATTGTAAACGCACAGTGAAAATCAATCATGGACAATGCAGTAAGTTATCCACCTGTGAAAGCCTGTTAACTCCTGGCAGTCTGAAATACGCGTTCGTATCGGTTGTGATTATTCGCATGTTCTAGTGCGTTTTAAATGATACTAGTTTTCTGCAAACAATAACGAAGAAACATTTGTATTTATATTAAGACAAATCTAAAATGTGCCCGAGATAACAACCCGATGAATGATTGCGCAAAACATGCTTGAACAAGGTGCCTTCGTCGTACGGGTCCTGAGGTAGTCTGTATACTAACTCAAGCATCTGCAGTTAACTTGGAGATTAAGAAATCCTCTTTCAATCAGAGCGCGATAAAACAAGATGGTACAACCGATGGTTATTACCAACGAATGAGTCATACACGTGGGGATACAAATCACTTTGTGTGTACTTCAGGAATGCTGATACGGTTCGGTCAAACACACGCAGAGTATTAACCTTTTGAGATAAACTATGTCCTCGTTAGTTGGTGGAAAAATGACTTGATTCCAGCAAAATAACAGCCTTTAACTCCATGCGAAAATAAACTACATCCTAGATGGTTAAAACGAATCCCCCTCTGATTCGAGCAATTATGTTGTCCGTCACCACACTCCAAGCACTGGGTTGGAGGGAAAAAACACGGTTTGCCTATTCAGTGTCAGTTGATCATGGGTTCTGTACCAAATTATATGATTGCAACATATCCGGAACGTAAATGCAATCAAGTAAACATCATTTTAAAGAGGTTTATGGCATGTTTGATTCTGGAACAAATTCTGGCTTTGGTTGGAGTAAAGTTCAGTAAACAAAGAACAGGACAAAGCAATCATAATTCTGAACTGCTTATTTTACTGAGAATATATCTTACTATTTTCATTTCATTTTACTTCATCATCTGACATGGCACTTTTCAACAAAGAAATTGTGAATGATCCGATGCTTAGAGTTCTATTTAGACAATATTCTGCACAAATCTACATTAGCCTCCTGAATCCCTTAGGATTTATCGTCGCGCACACATCGTAGCAGCATAATTATGAATTTTGTTATGTTCTGTGCTAAACACAGAATGCCGTCCTTAATTTCGGTTGAAACTCTTTTACCCAATTAGGATGTCCCCCTGCACGAGTTACAGAGACCCCTTGTCAAGAGAGCTTCTTACAGCGTATCACTGAAACATTTGAGCTGATCGAGGGTAGATGTGTCGGACGTCGTCACATAGAACGTATCCGCTGTGCCTGTCCGAGACCGATTCGCCGGATCTACTGTGACGGGACAGGGCGATGGATCAAATGTTTTGCTCAATTCCTATTCAATCCCGTGGCCAAAGTTTGTCGCCTGGTCAAAAATTGCGTGCGATGGGAACAGGATTGTCCGAAACCGGCAAATCGTCTAGTCGGTCCGTGTGGCCCACAGACCGGATTCACACAGGCCGTGCAACATGTCCGATTTGTGCGTGACCAGAGGTCTTGTCGTTGTCAACCGGAGGTGCTCAGCGAATGGAAAGAGCATTGTCGTGAGTGCTTTTCGAAGCATATTCATACTTAGTTAAACTGGTTAATTTGAATGGATGAAAAGATTCTTTTTTGCTTCCTAACATAGCAGCAGATTATGAAAAGACTCAACAAATTCTGAAAGTGTGGAGTCATCAGATCCTCGTTAACATATTTGCGTTCAAGAAATATCGATGTTTATTCATCTGTATTTGTAGGTTGTGATCACATCAATCGAATGTCAGAACGATGCCACGATGGAATGGTGGAGGTTCGAGGTATTGTTCACGAACTGGTCAACGGAGAGTGCAAACCAAAACAAGTCAAACATACAAAACCTATTGGTAAGCACCTTTGTTCCACCTATGGTACTTTTGTCAGGAGATGGGAAGAGGAAGCACAATAGATGCTTCGTTCACCATTGAGTGCCAGACACGCTCTAAAAGGTCATGCAAGCATAGGGCATTGTTAAATGTGAATTAGAAACAGCACATGTTCAGGGTTAAGAAGGGTCTGCCCGCATACTTCATGCCACCTTTTTGTCCTCAGAACATGATATGATAAACTCAAACCTGAGTATAGTGAATTTGTATCCGTATAGGATACATAGCATACACAGCAAACGAGTGGTTGGTTATCATACCTCCTCCGTTAGGTAGACCCGCAACAGAATCGTGGCACTTCAGGATCCTGGTGGGTTTTTCATTTTGGTACAGTCTATCCAGTTTGACTTATGGTGAAAACGGCTCAGTTTTGTTGATTACGGCACCCTGGGATGATTCGGTACTAGGTCGTGTCAAGATTCATATACGTATCAGACTCCATGCTCTAATGAAAATAAACCTTGCGGGAAATGGTTCAATCAATGCAGGACACGTTATTTCTCAATGAAAGCATGCATTGTACCCGATCGGCTACTTCAATTTGAAATGTTTTTGAGTTTGCGTAGTAATTACAACCTAAAGTATTACCCGTCGGTCTAAGGTGCTAGGCGGTAAAAGTTAGGAAAACGAGTAGTATAACAGCTGTGTATTACATAAGAAAGAAGAATAGAACTCACCATTAGATTCACATATTCGTACGGATAGAGAGATACAGGTGAATTGTATAATTTTCATCATCATCAACGTTACCATCATCATAACCATCATCCCTGTCGTCATTGTGATCCCCATTACCCTCATCACGATAATAATAATAATAATGATAATAATAATAATAACTTGATGCCTAGTGCCTCTGAACAATCGAATGGGCTAATACAAACTTGATACTCTAAAAATATTAATAACCATTATTTTCATTTCATCATCAACCAACTGATGCGTTCAACATTTGACTGATATTCTCTCGCCAATAATTGAATGCATCGGCTTCGATACTGTCTAACACCCTCGTACACGTTTTCAGTGTGTCCCGCCCCAAACGTACGCATTGTGCCGTGTAATCGCTCGCCCACATCTGCGCTGCGTGGCCTGAGTCTGAAAATTGTGGATGCATTTGAACGTCACGGTTGTCAATGCGTTCGTAGACGTCACGTATACAAAAAAATATGCGGTAAGTTTGTCATGAAATCTTTGCGATGATAAACCCACGAAAAAACCGGGAAACATTTCCTTACTCTAGGTGAGGACAAAAATAACAATCATTATTCATAAACTGCTCGGATCGAGAGTGAGAAGAAGCATTGTGATCACCGGATGTGCTGAATTCAACCAATACGTGGTAATCCCACCAGCTAGGTACATACAATCAAATCACGTTTGATTGAAACACTGGCAGGTTTGGGGACCAGTGAACATATATGGGGAAGAGAAATTTCGAATAGTTTGTGAATAACACAACGTTGCTGAAACCGAACGTTTCAGTCACTTCCGGTGATCTTCGTCAGTAGGATGCGGATCGGTAAGTAATCAGGTTCTATATGACACGAGAACAAAGACCAAACTCGGGTCATCATGAAAAGTCAACATGTCACGGAATAGAGCAATGTTCGCCGAAGAAGATACAGAGTGGAAAAAAGCCAAGGGTGGTCAAGTTAAGACCTGGCACGAGGGTATGAAAACCCTAACCAGGAAACTGGGTCACATAGGTCCTGTTAGGCTCCCTGGCTGGGGACCTCGGGATGATCGTAACCGATGGTTAGAGGCACTGAGCAATATGGCTGGGTGTCATAAACAGTGGCGTTCGTGCATCTCCTCAATTTCTTTCCAACCTTAGTTTACTGAACTTCTCCATTATCTTTTCGAATCCACTTTCAACTTTCCTTTCTTCTCCTATTCTTCATCCCAATGGGCAGCGAAAAGACAGCAACCAAAACCGGCGCACGAAAGTGCATGGTTAATGGTTGTTCAAACTGAAACTGAAACTGAGTGAAACAACGTATGTATGTGTGCATGAGTGTTTGGGCTTGTGTGTGAATGGGCAAGTGAGTGAACATGCCTAGGATCGATTTCCACCGCGCGTATGTCTAGCTGTGGTCGCGTTCAACAGGCTAAGCCACACACACACACACACACACACACATATACACACACACACACACAAGTTTTAACCATCGTTCCGATTCCCACGACTGGGTGTCCAATGGGTTGGGATTAAGAGCACTCGTGTTCGGTCCGGAGGGATAAGAAGAACCGCAGACAGGTCGGAATGAAGAATGCGTGATCAGCGAAGATTTTGTGATGAAATAAATAAATGTCTTTTTAATCACATGAGATCTCACTGAAAGCTTGGGCGTCATGCGCATGATTATTGAGGAACTTAGCTTGTCTTAGCCAAGGTGGACGAAACAAATCAACATACAGGGGGTTGGCGACAACGTTTCGACCCTCTTGGAAGGCCTTTCTCAAATCTCTTTTCGTTCGTCGTGGCTAAGAGAAGCTCATTTTCTCCTTCCTTCCTTTTCAGTTTGTTGAGTATACAAATGAACAGTCAACTTTCAGGAAGGGGCTGCGGCCATAGAAAGTTTGCCTGGGAAAATATAAGTATGGGAGTCGGGCACCAGTGGAGTGGCTCGAACCGGGGACCCCGGGTCATAAATTGGAGACCTAACCACTCAGCGACCGCCGACTGAGGACAGCCTTCACAGAAATAAATGTGGGGGGGGGGACAGGGGAGCAAAAGGCATAAAGTGCAAGGCAAATTGATAGCCAAAGGAAGCACATTTTGATGCAGAAGAAGTGATTGTAACGGGACGAAAGCGTTTATTTGTCAAGGTAAAACCCTAGGGCTGCTCACAGTAGAATCGTAACTACAGGTGTTTTCATAGTAGATTACCTAACGTGATTCCTCTCAATGTGGACCACCTTAACCAAGGTGTTGTCAAAGTCCGACTGCGATGGTCTTGAAATGTTTGTATGCTATTCATTTTTCGGACCTGTTAAGAAGAATACTATCAAAATCATAGACCGGCCAATTGTTGGCAATATACCATCACATTGACATTTTCCATTCTGAATTCATCGGATGGTGCATTACTTCTCAACTTATTCTCCTATATTGATTCTCTGTCAACTCTCAAACAGTATAGGTGAGCGGTGGTCCGGTGGTGACGTCGCTAAATTCTCACCCCGGGGATGTGCGTTCGAATCCCACCACCACCGCCTCACTTTCCCCAGTGTGTATTGAATGGCAGTCCTTTGATTAACCGCTTCCCCTTCCTGAAAATTGTATCTTTGTATATGCAATAAAAGGAAGTAAAATTAAAAGAAGAAAGAAAAAAGAAAAAGAAAGAGGATAAGAAGTAACTCATTCTGTTATGCAAGTCCCATAAACGTTATCGATCGGGTTCATTCATCGATCGGTCGGTTGGACCAGGTGCTTGATCTGCTAGCACAACTCCAGTGTCCCGAGCTTTACAATGCTCGGTGAACTTCGACTATGCATAGCAGGAGAGTCATACACACAGGGCTGGACATCAGGAAACAACAAGAGTATCATAAAGCAGAACATAAGGGTTTGTTGGTAGTGGGGACACATTTTCAAGCTGGGTCGAAAGGTCATTTGGGGTTGGGAGAGGGGAGGGGTGAGGTGGGATAAGCCCTATGTGTCTGTGTTCGGGTGAGATAGATTATGATTGGAGTGTTGTTGGTGGTGGTGATGTTGATGATCAATCATAAATATTACGAACTGGTGATCAATGAGTATCGTGTCAGATTGGGGAATTGTAAGTTGCGCAAATCGCGTAAAATGGTCCAATCAAATCGCAAAACGGGCCAGAAGGGAATTCAGTTCTGTGAGGTCATGGGTGAGGGGGACAAGATGATCGAAACAATGGACCACTCGCACTGTATCCTTTGCGGGGATTCCGTGTGTTCGGACAATCGGAACATTGACTGTCTACAGACTGAAAAAAGACACGTAGCAAGATGTTAACATTTCGCTTAATCCACTCAATCGCTGACGTAAAACAAACAGGCACATTCATAGTACATTAGGTTTGTAAATCTGAGTGCACGGACATACAAAGCTATGTACAGATGCATATACAGGCAGAACCAACCGTCCAGTATTACGACGAATGGTCGAACACATTCCAAAGTGAGAACATAAAGGTGACAAACAAACCCGTTTCCAGCACTTTTTATTCATGCCATTATAACACAATATATATATAAAGGGATTTACAAAGGAATGGAAAGTAATTAAAATTAATTAAACAGCTTGCATCATACTTGGTCCCCACTTTTAATGTGAGTGACCTGAATTCGTTAGGAGTCAATCATCGTTTGTCCGGATGTTTTCTGACGTGTTTTTTGTCGACAATCCGGCCATGGGAGCTTCAGTGCTTACATAAATTGCTTTTGAGCATACAAAGGGAGATTGTTGAGACGGATGCTGACCGTCTCCGCTATAGCTAGGATACGGAAATGCACATGTCTAAATGAACAGGTCTGTCACATTTTTCGCGATCCAATATATGACGGTCGATTGCATTGGACGATAGTTTGGACTTGTTAAACTCCAGATTTTTCTATATACGCTCCCATTTACTGGTCGATAATCGTCTCTCAGTTCTTCCAAAGTACTTACTCCCGGAAATACATTAGAAAGGGTAAGTACAAGAGAAGATAATTGAAGAGTTGGGTTTGTTTATATTGGATTCAGTGCGTATTTTTGTATTGTGTTGTAGCGAAGTAGTATCATAGATTCTTGCGACTGTATGCTTTAACTTGGGCTGTATGGGCCTACCATTTCGATCACCTTTAAACGGTAGGTTAACAAAAGCAGCTTTCTCAGAGGCTTTCTAAAGGTGCCTCTCCGTTCTTTTACCACAATAAATTTGGCCGGGTATCCACTTTCGCACAGAATCGTCGATATGCAGTGAAGATCTAACTCAATTTTTTCAATTGAGTAGGTCCTATGGACTCTAGGGAACAATGTTGTGCATTGTACTGAACAGAAAATTCTGAAATTAAGATGCTGCCCCATCCAAGTCGGCTTATGAAGTACAGATGTGACGAGAGACCCGTTTGTTTGACTTCTGGGAAGTATGAAGAGGCCTGAGATTTAGTCTCTACCTTCTGTTGTCGGGTAAATATTAAACGGAAATAGTTGCATGGAGCACACTAATCAGTTCTTATAATATTTTGGCTGGTAATTCCCCGCGAGCCATCAGGGGCAACCCGATTTGTATTCAATTTCAAGGGTTCATGTTGAAAGCCATTCGATCCCGCCAGATTTGGTTTGAGTTAGTGCCTGGTATTTTTTGTTTGTTAAGTGCTTTTATACGCGATTGACCGATCAAACGACTGATCGATGGGTTGTATGCACTGATATCTTGGGATCGGGGCTCGCGGTGCATACATTGTCAGTTTACTCTGTGCAACCACTGCTGAAATCTTAGCAGCGCTACAGATGACCATTTTTTATGGAGGTTAGACCAAATTAAAGAGATGGACACGAATTACCTCAGGTTTTGTTCTGACTGTCATGTTTCTATGATTTATGCTTGTGGCGTTGCATGTTAAGCAGACACCTCATTTAGTAGAGATGTGTGAATTAGTCATAATTGATAAATAATCATATTATTGTTAACTGTCACGCAGTCACACTCCACGGAATAATGTTTGCATTTTATGCCAGGTTTCCGTAATATTCTTACGATAGATTTTGTGTTATCAGCGATGAGATGAAACACTGAATAGTTATTCTCATTATTTCCTAGTACTGAAAATATGCTTAGTGAAAAATGTAGAAAATTCTCTCTTATCAGATCTTACATGTAGTGTCCGGGATTGTTCCAAGTACCACCCCCGCCCCCCCAAGACACCTGTATGGTTTCATTTCAAAATCAATTTCGATCCAGCTGTAGTAACCCTGAGATAGTGAGTTCGATCCCTTGTTGGATTATGCTGCGCTTTGTCGATAATGTTGAATGAAATATACGCTGAATACTCATTGATTGTAACTCCTTGTTCCTTTTAAACAACTCCAAAATACAAAACCCCTAATCACAACCCAAATGCAAACCAGTAAATATCCTTGCTTAGCTACTAACCAGAGTGGTTTTTCAACACTTACTATCCCGAATGTTCCGGTGGTGTTAAATCAATATTTGTCCCTTTCTATTTTCGGAAAAACT